AATCAAAAACTAAAACTAATGACAAAAATAATCATATCTCAGACAAGTTAGATTATGTAAATTTTGACAAATATTTGTACTTAAATGATGAAATATCTGTAAGTGAGGAATAAGATATGAAATAGGATCAAATTATAAATACTCTCAAAAACAAATTGTGAAGAGAGAACAAGAGTCACTACTTTTTCACTTCCGTTGTTTTGCATTAATCTGTTGTTCAGATAATCATCTTTCTGCTAACACAAATTAAGTCTGTTAATTTTTTGAGCAGTAAGAGCCTAGAGGCAAGTCTTTGGCATGAAAATTTTGTTCTATCTGCAATAAAATGGCAAAACAAGATTCTTCTGTAATAAAACTGTCTCTAAGTCAGTTAAAACCATCTGATCCCACTTTACAAAAAATGAATAGCTTAGCAAGTCCAAGATTGTAATATTTATTTAGACTATATAATTAAGACTTTGTAATATACAGTATAGAGGGAAATACAGACTTCATTGACATGTGCTGGAATAATCTGAATCCAATAGTAGTGAATGGACTGTTGCTAAAAACTGATCTTTTAAAAAAAATTTTGATTTCAAATGTAACAAATGTCTAAAGTGTGTCATAATTTGATAAAAAGAACTAGTAAGAAATATTTAAGTATATTTCATAAATTTGTTTAAAATTAGATGCACACAAAATACCTTATGTACTTTTCCAGCAAGTTACTCTTTAATGAAACTAATGTTTTCAGCTTTATTAATTAATAAGCCTTCATCTAGTTTTTTGAAACAAGATTCAATTTTGAACAATAGTTAAAATTCCTTATAAAAAATATAACAGTCTAGAAAAGAATTCTTATACGCAGAGACAACCTTTCCTTTGAGGCTACAGCCCAATAACATTGCGTCAATGGAAACAGCATCCTGTGGTGAATTATGTATTTTATTGTGAAATTGGCTAAAGTAAACATTTAAAATCTTGGCAGATGGTATTTAATTTTTAAAAAAATGTAATACTGTCTGCCAAGATTTTAAATGTTTACTTTATTAAAAATTTCGTTAATTTTTGAACAATATTACATTTTCTTTAGAAAATATAAATGGGGTTATTGATTAAGTTATGAATAAAATAAAATATAAATTTGTTACTTGTTTTATAAGTTGAGCCCTAGTGAAATCTGCTAATACAATGGATTTGCCTGCATATTGAGCAAGAGTAGTTTTTAAATTATTTTTGTTGATATCGTATTTATACTCATTGATTCTGCATATTAATGATCTATTAGTCAAGCTGATGTATTTTAGATATCTTTCAAATTTAACATCGTATATAGGGACAGAGTGTGCCCCAGGGACTTTATTTGGGTCAATGTAATCCTTGCCATTACTTAATAATCTGTATAGTGTTACCTCATTTGTATGCTATACAAGCTCCTGTGTATTTAGCAATTAATGTATATACCTACTATCGCATATAATACTGTGTGTTTACTTGCCTGTACTTGTGGTTCCACCCCTATGTTTTTGTCCAGATTGCATGCTATGTTATAAATAAGTTTTTTACTGTACCCATGTTTCATTGCAAAATTTTCCATGTGCTCCAGTTGTAACGGTGCAGAACATGATTCCATCATAAAACAAAATCATTTGAAGTGCTATTTACTTTTATTTTTAATTGTACATTTTTTAGTACTGTATATTTATTTTTTAAATTTATATTTTATTTTATTTATAACTTAATCAATAACCCTATGTATATTTTTTAAAGAAAATGTAATATTGTTCTAAAATAACACAAATTTAAAATCGTTCTAAAATTAATGGAATTTTAAATATTGTTTCAAATTGAATCTTGTTTCAAAAAACCTGAAGGCTTATTAATAAAGCCAAAAACATTAGTTTGATTAAAGAGTAATTTCCTAAAAAAGTACATAAGTATTTTGTGTGTATCTAGTTACTGTCTAGTTCCAGCTTAGGCCAATATTGATACGTTTAAAATAATGTCTATGACATAATGTAAGAGTTAATAGTTTACAAACGATTTGAGGTATATTATAATCATGACTACAACACTTGGCAACTATAAAAAGTATATGTGTATCTATTGTTTTATGTCTTTTTTTCATTTTCTTTTTTTATAGATTCAATATGTAAGTAAACAATGAATCTATGAAACTATTACTTAGTCTCCACTAATTTGAAATATTTTAAACATTTTTAAATTAACACTTTAATGGAAAAAAATAATACTTCATTTTTAATTATTTTTTTAATATTTAACTAGAAAAACTATTTTGCTTATATTTTAAATTAGAAAATATCCTACTTAATACATTTTCTTTAAACACTTACTTTGCAATATAAAGTAACATGTAGATAACATTCATTTGTTTCAATTCATCTGTTCCATACTAAAAAATTAAAAAAAAAATTATTTGAAATAAAATTTTTACCCTTGAGTATTTACTATTAGATTGATATATCAAATTATTATCTAGATATAGTATTTAAGACTTATCGATAAGATCAATTTCCAAAATATTTGAATTATTTTATTTAGAGAAATCTTAAAAATTAAGTATTGATAAAAATTAAATATTTAAAAAAACTTAATGATAATTTAATTATATCAATACTTTGAAACTTTCAAAGGTATAAAAATAATTTTATTTTTGATTAAAACATTAAGCAATAAAATTATCCACTGAAAAATAAGATGAAAATTTATAATAAGCTAATAAAATTGTTGCTATGAATTATAGAACAACTATTTTCAGGAAAATGAAATGATGTCATATGACTTTAAAATGAGCATGAAGAGTTTAAAATTCCGATAAAGATATTAATGATAATTATATATTATTAATCAGCAACTAGTGTCAAAAACAACAAAAATCGGCATTATGTATAAGGATTTGAAACTTTTAAAATTTTTAAATCTGAAAAAAATTTAAATATCATAATGTATTAAGATTGTAAAATTGAATTTAAAAAGATATAAAACAAATTTAAAATGAATATCGGTTATCTTGCATTCAACATTGCTGCTTTAATATTTTTCTTGGTATTTTTAATTATTAAAGCAACAAATTTGGAAACAGCACACTTATTTACTATATACATATATATTATATTAATATACTTACCCTAAGTTTAGACTGTACTAACTGGATAGGATAAGTCAGAATTGTTGAAATACATTTTGATATAGCTCCTATTATAAAATAGCTGGTACTACTAATTGCCTATTAAATAAATAAATTCAGTAAATAAAAATCTTAATACAGTGAAATTCCAATAATCAAGCATCTATCATTGTTTGAAAAAGTACTAATTATAGATTTAAAGAAGAAATCATAATATACTATTAAATAATACTGGATAGAACTAATTTAGCTTCTCCTTTTAGATTAATAATTGAAAAATGCTTCTATTTGCTTAATTACTTATATTTATATTTCAAATATTTTAATGCACACAAAAGTATAATAATAATAATAATAATAATGGTACAAATGAAAGCATATATATATAGGATGTGTGCATGTGTATGTACACAATTCACTTCATTAAAGATATCACTTGTTAAATATATAACTGCATTCACAAATAATTTATGAATACAGCCATTTATGAATACACTTGCATTTGAGAATAAAATTTAACAGCATCAATTTTTGTTTTATCATTTTTAATATCAATCGGTAGAAATATATATTTTCATTTTATTTGATCTGTATTAGTATTAATTAACTAGCTGCAAGGACCCGCTTCGCTGGATTTTTATTTGTTCGTACATTTGTATGTAATATAGTTAGTTTTATATATATATATATAAAAGACTGTTTTTCTAAGTAATCTAGAATCTAGCTGCAAGGACCCACTTCACTGGGTTTTTATTTGTGGGCAAAAAGTAACGATAGTGAAGATTAAGATAATTACATTATAGCCAATCTTACCCNTGTGTGTGTGTGTGTGTGTATTGATATACTTTAGCAATCATTTGGCTTTGACAGATTATTAGAAAAGTTTATTATACAGGATATAATAATTCACTCAAAGTACCCATTTTAATTTGCCATTAAAAAATGAATGATTTAAGATATATAATAGCAACAAGTTGCATATGGTGGGAAACTCACCAAGTTTTATAGAGATTTTTTTTCATAAAGATGGTGCAGAAGCCAAATTATGAGTATTATTGTCCAGTCATGGCTTTGCCACAGGAGAAAGCACAGGACATGGTCTGGTATGCCCAAAAGTACCAAGATCTCCTGATCTGATCCTACTCATATTTCTTTCTGTGGGGTTATGTGAAAAATATGGTTTATGCAACTTCAATCAGAGAACTTCAGGATCATCGGAAGCACATTATTGCAATGATTGCCATTGTGAGACAGGACATGCTGCAGCATAGAAATTGCCTCCCATCTTGACAATGTCACTGTGACTGCTTGAGAACACAGAGATATGGTGATTTTTTTTAACGAAATTTGGTGAGTATTTTCTCTCAAAATCTTTGGTGAACTTATCTTTAACCATTAATTTTTTTATAGTCAAATCAAATTGGGTACTTTCCAGCAGAACACACTATATAATTAAAAAATGACAAACCTTTGATTCAGATCCCTTAGACATTCTTCTTTTTAGTGACTCATAAATCATAAACTGAAGAGCTGGATTACTAACTAATATTAAAGAGGGAACTAAACCTCCATAAATTCCTTTCCAACCTTCCACTTTTTTAATCTGACAAAGTCCATCTGAAATTTAAAATCAATTCTAAATGTTATTCTTTAAAGTTTATTTGCATCTTTGACTTTAATTCAGAAATCATTAGAATAGAACAAACTGATAAAAAATTACATTAGAAATATAAAATCAGAGCGATTATGTTAAACTATTTTATATATACAGGAGAGCATCAATTATCCAAATACTGATCAACTGAAACATCAGCTAACCGAAAGCGTTCCAATCGGTAAATTCAAATTTCTGCTACAGATGTGGTGTTGCAATATTCTCTCCCTCCTTGCCAACCTGAACTGTAGGCCTACTTTAATGTACTACTTTATGTAAGGTATGTAAGGTATGAATTTGTAAGACATGCGATTCAAAATATATACAGTACAGTTTTGTGTTTAATATAATTATATTACATTTAATTAAAATTTACCAATTATTCCTTTGTAATGAGAATAATCTGAAGATTTTCTGTCTTCTAACTTCAATTTTATATTTTGCAGCCTTAATCGAGTGTTTACTACCCATAATGGTGTTGTAAGTAGTACATTCACTGCACCTGAGGAACAAATGAACTTCAGTATAAATATTTAATTATAAACTTTATATGAAACAATAAATTATACCTGCAATTGAAGCTAAAGCCAAATCTGTCAATGCACTATGTGATTTTGCATCCCTTTTATATACAGAACGTAAACCGTGGAAAGTGTAAAAATATACAAAATTAGAACAGCACAGACTAGTTAAAACAGGTCCCAGACCTCGATATAAGGATTCACTTAAA